CCCGGAAAAGTAAATGCTTCACAAGAACTAAATATCAAGCACAACTTAATGTAACTCAGAGACTGGCGTCAACAAGCAAAAAGGGCACATAGGACAGAAACGGATGGAATCAGACAGACCCAACGCGTGGGACCTGCAGGGTTGAGGGTCCCACTGAGAACATAAGCAAACTAGCAACACCAGAAGGCCTTCCTCATGGGGAAGCAGACCCCAAACCTAAAACTTCAAGTCAACATTCCTCCGGGAAACAAAAAAGTATGTGTGCTCACAGTACATCCCAAAATTATTTCACGCATGCACCAGAAAGGTTGTATCAGCTGCAAAATGTTCACTCTCTTTCAAGAAGAAAGACGCTGACTGATGCTCAAGGAAGTTTTTCTCCTTCTTATGCTTTACGTCAGACCATTTTTTACTAAAATTCTTCATCACTGTCATCAATGTCATCCCGTTGTTCATCGATTTGCTTGAGCGGGTGCCAGTAATGTCTCCATGTGTCCTAGCCCTGAGATTTTAGCAAGTGCCACATTGGAGGCTCTTCCAGGGTCAGGGGGACAAGACCCATCGTTGTTATTGGGTTTTGGCATAACGAATACGCCACGGGGAGCTTGCCAGACTCTGCTATGCGAACAGGATATTCTCGGTAGCCTGCCGGGTTCTCCAAGACCAAGAACTAGACAATAAGAAGTCACACGGTTGCAAATGTGGCCGCATGCTTTCAGGAGCTTGGTTTTATAGTCTCTGGGTCTTGGTCATTGATGGGATTACACGGTGCCGGGGGCAGTTGGTGGGTGTAACGCCTAGCTACTGGAAGATGGGGGATCTGGGTGGAGGAGGCCCAGTCCCGATCCAAGCACCTTGGAGATCTCAGCCCTGGGTCCCGCACACCTGGGTTCCTCTGCTGGTTCCTTCATGTGTGAGGCTCATCCAAGTGTGTGGAGAGTGGTCTTATGCATGGCTGTGGCTGGTTCCGGAGGTCTTCAGCTGCCGGAACTCAGCTCGGGGCAGGGAGGGAAACTCAACCCGCCCCCCTCGTAGGGGCCCCAGCCAGGAAAGCCAGGCACGGGGGGCAGGAAACTCTACCATCATTGACTTAAGAAAGGTAAATAGTGATATGGCTCAATAAATGACACTCAGGTTTGGGGTTCAATGCCCAGCACCAGGGGAAAAAAATGATTACGGATGGCAGAGAGCAATATCATTTTAACAAGAGAAAATCCCAAAATAAGAACAATATCGATCAAAAAAATATATATAGCACACCAGGCTCAACATGTAACAATATGTTAGTACTCTCTTACACAAGAGCAAATGGCTCCAAGGTGAGATAAAACAATTTTCACACTTTCCTCTAAGGTTTGGATCATTTTTAGCAGATTATTCGTAACAAGCAATACAAAATAAATTACTTAGGACAGTCTTTGGGTTGTGTTGTGGTGGGAAAATTCAAATTAATGATGGTGGGAAGGTGTAATAGTGGTGGGATTGGTGGTGGAATACTGAATGTAATAAATTATTGTGAACAACTTTATAAAAATAAAATTTAGGATACACCATAGAGATGCCTCCAGACCCTGTGCCGGGTTGTCTTATCCAGGGCAACCCTGAGGGGGGCCCCTCTGCGCCCCCACAGAGCCTGCTCTGGCAGCCGAAAACCTCCAGAACTCAATCACCGCCATGCTCATGGCCACTCTCCACACGCTCGACCCTACCCATAGAGAATCTATTCCGCGGCCATGCGACATCTCATACCCTACAGCACTGATATACCAAGAGTACCACACCACATCGGATGGGGTTTAAAGTAGAAGGCAACCAATCTTAGGGGGAAACATATGTATACAGATACATGTATGTATGTATATATACATACACACATATATATGCACACAAGGCTCAACCTTTAACAACACATTACTAATTTCTTATAGAAGGGCTTAGTGGCTCCTGGGTGAAATACAGCAATCTGCACACACTTTCCTCTAAGAAACCTTTTTTGGATCATTTTTAGCAGAATATTTATAACAAGCAATACAAAATAAATTACTTCGATTCTACTTTAGGGGCAAAGTTTGGGGTTCGGGATGGAAATATTTGAAATATGATGGTGGGAAAGTGTACTGGTGGTGGGATCAGTGTTCGAATATTAAATGTAATCAATTATTGTGAACAATTTTATAAAAATAAAATAAAATTTAAAAAATAAAGTTTTTAAAAAAAAACTGTTTAAAAGCACTCCTGGGATTTTGTTTAAAAGCACCATCATCTTTCAGTTGCGCTGCCCGCCCGGGCGCAGCTGGGTCCAGGCAGCCTGCAGGCTCTCGGCGGCGGCCAGCAGACAGCCCAGTGCAGAGAGCAGCCAGCCACACAGATGACCCCAATGTGATCCTGCACAAAAGCCATCACGGAGAGCACCCCATGAAGCCTCCTTACACCAAAGGTATTTAATGTTCATCTTAAAAAAAAAAAAAAAAGCACTATCATAGGGGGCTGGAGCAATAGCACAGCGGGTAGGGCCTTTGCCTAGCACGCGGCCAGCCCAAGTTCGATTCCCAGCATCCCATATGTCCCCTGAGCACCGCCAGGAGTAAGTCCTGAGTGAAGAGCCTGGAGTAACCCCTGTGCATCGCCGGGTGTGACCCAAAAAAGCAAAAAATAATAATAATAATAAAAATAAAAGCACTTATGGGATTTGTGTTAGCAAATTCCGACTTCTTTCCTTTATGAGGGGTGGGTATGTGTTCAGGGGTCTGCGTGGGGTGCCAGGGATTGAACCCAGGTGCAAAGCAAGCGCCCCTGCCTGCTGCACTGGCTCCAGCGCCTCGATTACTTCTTCTCAGCTGACTAAAGAGCCAGACTCCCATTTATTTCCAGCAGCTGAGAAACACTGCGCTCCACCCTATCAGGCAAACATTACCACACTCGACACATTAATTATCAGTCCTCAAATAAATACACTCAGCTATCTAACAGGCAGCCACTACCATTCACCACTACTGAACCCTTCAAATATGTTTGCCTAAATTGAGGCGGGTTATAAAGGCAACCCTTCACCAGGTTCACACCAGCTCTCAGACTTAGTATCAGAGCAGTAATTTTTTCATATTGATTTGTTAAGTATTTTACATACTGTAGTTATTCTTAGTCTTGATGCATTTACTTTAAAATTTCATTGGACTTTTTCAGATATTTGGGGGCCACACTTGTTGTGCTCAGGGTTATACTCCTGGCTCTGAGCTCAGGGATCACGCCTAGAAGCGATCAGGGAACCATATGGGGTGCCAGGGATGTAACCCAGTTGGCCACCTGCAAGGCAAGCATTCTACCCACTGTACTACTGCTTCAGCCCCCTCAATTGGATCTTGACTCACACTTATATTCCCACCCAAGAGGTCTATGCAAATTGCAAAATATGATACAATCTTGCTTTGATGATTCACCATGATGATAAGCACCAGATACACAACAGAGAAAAAAAATCTTACAGTATCTTAGACACATAGTTTAAGTTAAAAAAACAAGACATGTTCTATTAAATTTATAACCAGGTTTAACTCTGTTAATAGTGGAAGAATTCAACCCTACATGTTGCATCCTTAGATCAAGCATGAAACAAAAAAGTTTGCTAGGGAGGGGCCAAGAGAAATGCCATCTCTTTCCAGAAGACATTTTAAAACAAGAGCAGTATATTTAAAATAACAGCTTTGTGAAAAAAAACAATAGTCCTTAGACTTCTTCAAAAGGAAACCTGGTAGGATGCATCAGAAACTCCAATCAAGAGGCGGAGTTAAATGTTTGGCCGTGTGGAGAACATCAGCCAAGCTCCTTAGCAGGGTGTTTGTCATTAAACCTTATAGGGTGATCAAAAACGGTCAAAATTTTATAAATATTCTTCAATATTACCATTACCGAATTTAATAGAATTATTTCCAAAACACTGCATCCTTTCCAAATCTGGCCCGCGAAAACAGGGGTCGCTTTAGCCGCAGCAGCAGCAGCAGCAGCGTCCTGCACGGGCTAAAATTAGAAACTGCCCGTCCCGAGCCCTATGCTCAAGGAGTATTTGCACGGAATTCTGTTCCAGAAGCACTTGTGGACACGCCATTCATTCTTCTTTTTGATCCTGGAAGCCCTGGGACACCGGCACGTTCCGTCCCTACTTCTGAGGTTGCCGCCGGGCGCGCAGACCTTGGCGTGCTCAAGGTTACGGCGCTCAAGCCCAGCAGAACCAGTACCGATCCGGACCCCGCTCCCGGCACCTCGTCCTCCGCTCCAGGCAAGCAATTCTCCAAACCGGAGAGAAACGCTCAGCACCCCGACAGGTCTGGCGCCGGGCGCGGGCGCGCAGCACCCGAGGGGGGGGACGGCGGGGCTGCGAGGGCTGCGTGCCGGGCACAGCCCCCGGGGGAGGCGACAGGCCGGGCCGATGCCCGCCCGGGGCCGCGCGTCCTTCCCGGCAATGCAGCAGGGCCGGGGGAGCGCGGCCAAGTGGAAGCGCGGAGAACCGGCCCCGTCCTGCCCGAACGCTATTGTCCACGGGGAGAAATCGCAGGCGAGAGGCCAAAGAAAGGATTTTTTTTCCCGCTTTTAAAAAAATAAATACATACGAGCACCGGGGTCTCGTTTCTGGCCGCGCCCGCCGAGGCAGGCGGAGGCGGCGCCCGGAGAGCAGCAACGCGGGAGCCGGTGCGGCGGGCGCTGGGCCACGGCCCGGCCTCCACCTCGCGGGCCGCCGCGCCGCGCCCGCCCCCGGCCCGCCGGGGCCCCGCGCCGAGCCCCTCCGACGCCGCCCCCGCCGGGGGGACCCCCGCCACGCCGCCGCGCCGCCGCCCGGGACCCCCGCCCACGCCGCCCGCCGCCGCCCGGGGGGCCCGGCCCGGATCCCGGCCCGCGAGCGCTGACAGCCGGCGCCGCCCCCACCTGCGCGCCGCCGCCCCCCGCCCCGCCGGCCCGAGGAAGGAAGCCGCCGCCGCCGCAGAGGAAGCCGCGCCGCCCGCACCCACCGGCATCATCGTGCGCGGTCCGCGGCGCCCGCCGCCGCCGCCGCCGCCGCCGCCTGACAGGACGCTCGGGGCCGCGCCGCGCCCGCCGCCCGCGCGGGCCGCGCGCTCGCCGCCGCGCGCTCGGGTCCGGCCGCGACGAGGCGGCGGCTGCGGGGGGCTGCGGAGCCCAGGCCGGCCTGTCGCGGCCGCCGGCGCGCTGCGTCGCTGTCCGGGACCGGCCGCCGCCGCCGCCGCCTCCGCCCGAGCGCCGCCCGCCGCCGGCCCGCGGGCGCTCTCCCCGGCCGCAGGCCCCGCCCCCGGCGCGTCGCCCTCGCGGGGCCGGCCGCCGCCTCCGATTGGCCGGGCGCGGCGAGGGGCGGGCCCGATGGGCGGGGACTGCGGGCCCCGCCCCCGACCGCGCGCCCGGCGGCCGCCAGGTGCGAGCGCGCCCGTGCGCGTTCGCGCGCCCGCGAAGGGGAGGGGGAGGGGCGGGCGCCCGGCGCGGCCCCGCCCGAAGTGCGGGCTGCGGGAGCCCCGGCCGCGCCCCGCAGCTCCCGGGCCTCGGGGGTGGGGCCTCGGGGCCGGGCCCCTGCCGCGCCGCAGTCCCGCCGCGTCGGGATTCGAACCGCCGGAGCGGGCGGGTGGGCGGGGCGCGCGCGCTGACCGCGGCCTGACCCGGGCTCCCGGCGCCCGCGGGGCTGCACGCGAGGTCGGGAGGGGCGCGCGCGGCGCGGGGCGCCCCGAGCCCCAGCGGCCCGGCACCTGATCGCCCCTGGGCGCCGCCTCTGTGGCTCCGGCTGTAGGCGCGGGTCCACTGTCCCCCTTGGCCCTGTCCAGGCGCCGGCGCTCGCCTCTGGGCCCCGACTCTCCGTCGCACTGACCTGGCCTGGGCACCTGAGGGGCTGCGGGGCCAAGCCAGACCCTTCCCGTGCTGCGAGCCGGCCCCGGGGCCGCACGGATGATACCGGGCGCTCCGAAACGCACACAAGCGTCAGGGAATGGTCAGGGTCAGTCTGGAGTCCTCTGCTCCTCTGGGGAGAGGGACCCTGCCAGGGGGTGACTGCTGCTCCCCTCCCCTCTCAGAGAACCGCCCCCTCGGAGGTTCTGGCGCCGAGTGGTGCACTGGACAGACGAGTGGCCAGGCATCCCTGGCCCCACCGTGCCCATCTCCTTGGAAGGTTTTGAGCGGTCTCTCGCCTGGTGTCCGAGCCGAGCCGGCTCCTGCACTCGGAGCCTCACAGGTGGGACAAGGCTCTTGTCCTCCAGCGCAGCTCTCCGGCGTGGGCTTTCGGAAGCAAGCAGCTCCCGAGCACACACATGCAGGGTCGGGGTCACCCAGGCAACTTCCCTTGTCTTAGCGCTGCTGTGCTGGTGCCTGGGCAGCCTTGGCCAGGCTATGGTGCCCGCACTTAGCCCAGCCGCCCCCCAGGGTGCTAGCCCTCAGCCGTATCACTTGCACTCATGTTCTCCAAGAGCTGCTCTTGAATTGTGCTCTCAAGAATTCTGGTGTGGTGCCACACTGGCCTGGCCTGGTCACTCTGCCTTAGTCGTGGCAGCCATAGCACCCACTGCGGAGCTACCAGGACCACACGGCCTCTGTGCTGACCTGGGGTCAAACTCATGACCACCTGCTTGCGAGGGGGCACAGTAGTCACTGGGCTGGCCCACAGGTCAGGGAGCTTGATGTGTGGGCCCCACATTTGGGCCCCACTGGTCAGGCCACGTCTTGTGCTGGACCAAGACTTGGAGGGAAAAGGAAGTACCATGCAGGGCTGGCCTAGGCTGGCCGTCAGAGAGACCTGCGCTCTGCCTCCAGCCGGGCTTCCCACCTCGTGGCCTCAGTGTCCCCTTCTGCAGGGCTCTTCCAGCTGACACACTAGCAGTGAAGAGGGGCTGCGGGCCCACTCATCAGGCAGGCTCAGGCCTTGCTGGGACACTGCAGAGAAATGCCATCTGGCCCAGGTGGCCCAGATGTCCTCATTCCCTGGAAAAGAGAGTTGGCCATTGGGGTCCACACTTGTCTGCAGGACCCGGGGTGCAGTCCTCTGCAGGCACCCTCCAAAGCAGGCCCGCTCGGCCCACACAGACTCTCCACCTGCTCCTCCTTGTCGTCTTCCCACGCAGCCTCTGGCATCATGCCCCCCTCCCCAGAGAACAGGGGCCTGCGTGACTGTCCTCCCTGTTCTAACCTCCATCCTGATCCCCCCTCCACCCCCCGCCTCAGAACTGGGTCACACCCACACGCCCACTCCACACCCCTGCGAACCCCGTCATCTAGACCCGGGTTCACTGGGTCCTCTCAGGAGTCTTCATTGCTCCAGGGATCCAGCGCAGGTCGGGAGTCCAGATGGCTAGGACGCTCATCAACATTCCGAAAGGGCTAGAACTTGCTTTCAGCCTCTTCGGCAAAAGGGAGAGGGCCCAGGAAGGCAGGATAAGTAGCATATGGCGAGCGCTTGGGCGAGCTGGAGATGGGCGGTGGGTACAGGCTGCAGTGTGCTTCTCTCTCTGCTCTGCTCAACAGTAAACAGTATTAAATGCTCTTTAAATGTCATCGGGGAAAATCAGTGTCGACTCATTTGCAGAAAGGAATTCTTGGAAGAAGCCACAGAATCCCGACAGATCAACGAGTTTCACTGGAATGGGAACTGGGAGGAGATGAGACAGAAACGGGAGTGAGGCTTTTGTCCTTTTTTGTAAAATAAGCTTTACAGCTTTGGACGGAAGGACACTGTGAGGACCGCGAGTTCAGAACCCAGTGCCCCCTTTGGTGTCCTGCATTAGCATGGTGCATTCTCCGCAGCAAAGTCCATGCTCTGGACACCGTGCGTCACACACTCCTCGGGTCCCCTGAGGCTCTTCCAGGCTGACTTGGTGTTTACGGCCCTGCGGTGGCAGGAGGGCTGGTCAAGTGTCCGGAGGCTGTTCCTCCTGAAACCATGCTTCCTCAGCATCAGGCTGGGGTTACTGGGGTTCCAGGAGGAAGATGACAGAGACAAGATGCCATTCCTATCTTGTCATCTCAAGGTCTCAGGCTGACGCAGACCCGCAGCAGAGTCACTCCTGTTGCCCTCCAGAGCGTGGACACTTGCTGTGCTTTTGTGGTGCCTGGGTACACCTTGGGCCGCTATTTCTCCCCCGTCCCCCCCCACCTCCAGCCCCCATGCTTGGGTTGCAGAGGGCTCCAGATGGAAGCAGGCCCCGCTCTAGCTCTCTGGCCTTGTTGCTTCCCTTCTTGGGGTTTTGGGTCCAGGTGGTATTCTTATTTGTGGCTACATTGTCAGTCTTCAGACTTGCTCCAGTCTGCTTGAGTAAGAGAACCCAGAGATGAATGGCAGTCCTGTCCCCACAGGTCTGCAGGTGCAATCCTGCAATCCCCGGCTGGGTGCAGGCGGCTGACTCTCACTGGCTCACTCTCTGCCTCTCTCAGTCTCCTTGGAGCAGGGCCCACCCCAGACTCTCTGACTTACCGAGCTCTGCAAGGCCCCCAGAATCACCTTCTGAGAAGAGCAGGGCTTAGGAGTCAACCTACGAACCGGGGAAGAGCCGGTTCACGTGTAGGAGAACCTCATGGTATTTCCAAGTTCAGGTCCTCATCCACACGCCCTCCCCACACCCAGCCCCACCTTCCTTGGGCCCCTCTTCTTCTACCTCCTGAAGCCAGCAAAGCCACCTGGTCTGTCACTGTTCTGGTCCCTCCTCTCCGTGGCGGTTCCACAGTCGCCGTCCACGGCGTCACCCAGGCCGCTGCTCCCAGGACGTCAGCTCCCCAGTGTACCATTCTGCTCAGGCCAGGAGTGAGGCCGCTCGCAGGGAAGGGCGGAAATCCAGCACCGGTACATTTGGAAAATGAGTGTGACACCCTAGGGGCTGTTGTGCCGGGGACGGTGGCATCTGGGTCCAACCTGAAGGCAGAGGAGGTGGCCTGGCCTCTCAGGAGGAATGAGTAGATTTTTTGGGGGGGCGTATAAAGGGCCTGAAGTTGGGGTGTTCACAGAGTGTTCACAACACTCTGAGCAGTGCTGGAGTCTCAGAGGTGGAGTGGGGGGGGTGGTATCAGGCATGGTCTGGGCCCCCTGGGCGAGATTTTACCTGGGCAAGTGTCAGGGCGTCATGGGGATCCTGGCTGACAAGGCTGAGAAGGGTCCGCAGACAGGCAGTGGGGGCGGTGCGGAAGGCTACCCTGGGGGCTGTGGCTTGCAGAGTGGGATTTGGCAAGAAGAGACAGGAAGCACCCAGAACCTTCTGCAGCAGACTTCATCAGCGCTGGGGGCCTGGGGTGCTGACCTACGGGCGCAGGTTGGCCCATGCTGACTGCCTGGCGCTCCCCAGAGCCCACAGTTCAGGACCCCGTTCCTGGCTTCTGTCCCCTAGCCACACACATGGGCACTGCCTGGGTGTCCCTCTCACCTGTCACTGCTCCCCACGCACCCGTAATTCCTTCTGCAGCTCCAAGCAGATATGAGTCCCAGGGGAACGCACACCACTGCCCACAGGGACTCGGCCTCCCAGCCCTACGCCCTGCAGGCCCCAGCCCCGACCCCCAACTCCCAGGAGAGCCTGTGTCCCCTAGTTGGGAATCTGTCACTGCCTCATCCCGGGTTTATCGCCAGGCTCCACTAAGGGCTCTGCCTGAAAGCCAGCAGCTCACAGGGGGCCTCTACCCCGAGTTCCGTGCCCAGAGGGTCACCACTGTGGGAAGGGGATGCATGTGCTAGGCCCAGTCGGCAGTAAGTGGCCTCATCCCTCACTGTGATGCCAGTCCCCTCCACCCAGGATACAGGGGCTCCCTCTTGCAGGACGGGGTGCTGAAGCTTGGATACACGCACTGACACACACGCAGAGCCCTGAAGATACACAGCCCAGAAGCCACACACTCAGGATACACTGGTGTACATCAGCACAGCCCAGATGACACACCCGTAGCCCTGACACACACAGAGCACTGGTGGATTTGTACACATACCGAGTACACGCATCTACACACGGCCCTGATAGACACAACACAGCACTGACACACAGAGTGTCACACACGGTGACACACGGTACACGCACAGTGCCCTGGTATATATGCACACACACAAAGAGTACACACATCTACATAACCCTGGCACACACAGAACACAC